GGATATGAAGTGGACCGAATTATAGAACAAGGATTCTTCTCTACAGGTGCACGAGGACGACCCTAGAAGCAATTCAAGGTTCGTTTAAAAAGTCAGAGCCCATCTGAGGACAGATGGTTTAGTAAAAGAGAACTCCTTGAATCTGCTCCTGATATCGTCTCTGCTTATAAACGCGGGTTGAAGTCTTAAATATTTCTGCGATGGAACTCTAAATTTGGGTCGGCAGGAATGCAGTAACCCTGTTCAACAGCAGACCGGGGCTCAGAACTTTGCCCCCGGTAAGACACAGACTCAGTTGTCTGTGCTGGGCTATGTGACCGAGACATGCCCAGCCTGAGTCTGTCGAGGAGGCTGTGTGACCAAACGCAGCACAAGGGAAATTCAACAGTCAAGGACAACTGTAGAGTCAAAGGTACCGTACCCAGGCCTATGGACGGATACATTCACTTGTTGTGTGCAGGTACCCAGACAGCATTCAGGGCGGGAGAAATACAGTTTCTGGCCGATCTGGGCCCTCATTCATATCGAGATCTGGACGGTGCAGGACCTCAGTACCCGGGGTCCAGACCCCGCATCCACGCTATTTAAGAGTTGACTTCCTGGCTGGAGAACATTCAGTCTTGCGTGAATGCTGACTTCACGCGTGGACTTGACGCTGTTGCTATGCTGCGACATTGCGACATTGGCTTGACGCCGGCTATATGCTGGCAGAGGAGGACAGCAAGGCGCTGCTGGCTGGCGATGGTCTTCTGGGCATGCTGACGTGGCAGCTGCCATGCGCCGTTGCTGACGTGGCCGCTGCCACTTGTATATGATTGATGACGTGGCTGGCTGCGAGGTTGATGAGGCTGTTCTGATTCTTCGTCACTTCGGAAGGAGATCAAGACTGTGGTTATCGAGGATACGTACCTGGTTGMTGACGATACTCTCCATTTGCTGATGTAGACAGATTGACGTGCCACGTGGCACCTTGAGGAGGAACTTCAGACATTGTATTCAGTCTATTGATTGATGAGGTGGYGAGGAGGAGGAGGAATCCGAAGTAGAAGTGGGCTGTTGTCTTCTTCTCTCTCCTTTGTCTATTCTCCCTCTCACCTCCTTCGTCTGTGTATGATTCTCACCTCATTCTATCATCACACGCTCATTGCATATATATACAATCAAGTTATATCCTATCTACTTACTAGCAATCTCAGCTATTGGTGGGGTTTTGGATCTCTTGCTGGTATTTGTTTGGTAATCCAGATAATTACAGGCATTTTTTTAGCAATGCATTATGCGCCCGCCCTGCCCCGCAATGCAGACAGCCATGATTGCTTTGTTCATGGTATGGGATTGGTATACACCCTGTCGAGTTAGAGAATTTTTATACACGTAGTGATGAGCCCATGAGAGAAGCTACAAGCTTAAAACGGAACCTCCTTCAAGCAGCAGTAACACACTTCCCCAAGGAATGATAGGCCAAGTTCAATGAACTGAACGAGTACAATGCAAAAATGTCCACCCAAAGGCACTGAACGGTAAGCCCATTTAACTGTTATGAAACAGATCGTTAGTTTGAATCCTGATAGAATCAAATGAATGCAATAATTTCAGGGGCCAACCCCTTTTAGAAAGCAAAACAAGAAAAGAAATGTCAGCTACTGATAGTGGTGAATAACAAGGAGAAAAGGAGAGAAAGCCAGGGAGGGTTCCAAGGACTCTTCTAACCATTGGACCATCACGTAAAATGTTGAAGGTTACCGACAGAACATGGAAAGACAGAGAGAAACTGGAGCCTTTACAATTCGATGAACTTGCATGCTATTGATAGTGTTGAATAGCAAGGAGAGAAGAAGAGAAAGTCAGGGAGGACTTTGAGCACTGAAGGTTACAGACAGAAGTCACAGAACACACACACACACACACACAAAAAAAAAAAAAAAAAAAAAAAAAAAAAAAAAAAAAACAGGAAGCCTTTACGATTTGATGGGCTTCTGGTCAGAAAGCAGCAAGAATCTACTGACATCATTTGCATGCAGTTTAGCCCCTGCTTCCACGAAAAATATACCTTTTGTCTTCATAGGCCGACAGCTCAGCCTTTATATCATCTGCTGTCCTCGCGCTCTCTGATAGACAGTCCAATCTGTACTCCTGTTCGTGGATCTGTCTTTTCAGGATCTGGGACTCCATCAACAGCCTGTCCACTGTGTCACTGTGCTTCTCCAAACCTACGAGGTCAGATTGTTCCATTTCCATTTGGGCAAGCACGCCACAGACCTGAAGAAAAGAAATGTAGACGGGAATCACGGGATATTATTACAAAATAATTCCTCTACCCAGCCGCAAGGAAATGAGCAATGTGAATGACAATCAACCAAATTGCAGCATTCCAGAGAAGTCCAGATGACTTTGAGTCCGAACTGAAAGCAGATTGCACCATGAGATAACACCAAATGAGTGAGGGCAAAGACCTGAAGTCAAAAGATAATGAAAGCCCTTTTCTTGCCTCAAACATCAATGTCAACTACACCACTCTCCCTACATGGCACTTGATGCACAGACTACAATCAGACAACTCCTATCGACCTAGACCCGTATCTACAACAGGTCTTCCTTGAAGAAAGGCAACCCGATGATGAATGAAGACTCTGTGTGCTACAGCCTGCTCCCATATCACCATTTAAGCACATCACCCTCTCCCTGTCTTCCTTCTCCAATCCCTTGCCCAAGGACCTCCGCTCACCTCCTCCAGCTATAGCGCATGCAGCCTGGCTATGGACGCTGTGCTCTCGCCTTGTCTTCCTCGCGCCTCGCCAGCACCCTTCTTCCTTCCTGGCCCGGTTCTGCCTCCGTCCAGCCAGCCCGAATGTGGCAAGTGACTGAGCTCACTTGCTTTTGGCCTTGGCTGGGCTGCCTCTGTCCCAATAGCTGCGCCCAGGGCCCTTCCAGAATGTGACTGGGGCTCAGCATCTTCACTGCGCCCCCAGCACCTTCAACCGACCGGGCTACCAATTGGCTGAATATGCTCTTCGCAGCAACCAGCCCACGGGCTCCTTCCTGCTCAAGTCGGCCTCTACTGGGGCCTCGTCCATTTCTAGCAGGCCCGCCTTCACTTAGGGTGGGAGCAGGCCCTTTCCATCGGGAGCAGGTCTTTCCCAACCAGGCCGAGGGCCCTCATGCTTCGCACAGCCTATGTGGCTGAATGGTAAAAGCATGAAACTGTTAGCAAATCTATGTGACCATCTGCACACACTGAGCGCGCGTTCACATTCAAACGCGCGCCTTCAAGGGTGTGTAAGTGCATTCAACCGCGCACCTTCAAGGGTGTGTAAGCGCATTCAAACGCGCCACGTGGCATTGGAGAGGAGAAAGTGAACGCGCAACCTCCACTGGCGTGCGCGCGTGGGAAGCCACCGGGGGGCGCAAGCAGTTTGAATATAAATATATATATAATATATTGTCACATCACTACAAACTAAAAGAGCGCACTTTGCGGAACAAAGAATAAAAGCAAAAAACGGGCACAGTGATAACATGCAAAAATAAAAATAAAAAGAAAAACAAAAAGAAAAAACAAGGGCAGATTGAAACCATTAAATTTCTCATTCTTCTTTGAACTCCACCTCCACTGTGCCTCTCACGTGCAAGGCTCGCCACGTTGATGAAGTTGAGCGTGAGCTGCCCCCATCC